CCAAGTGTGCTTAATTGCCTTATCACGGCTCGACAACAGACAATGGCAACAGCAACAGCAACTGCCTTGGGCTCAGGTTTTTAGCCAGCCATTCTAGTTGAAAATTAATTAAAATAAATTGACTTGACTTGATAAAAGGCAACTCTAGTTTAAACTGTCCTGGGCCTTTGGCGTTGTCAGGTCTCCAGTCTCCAGTATCCAGTCTCAATGAAGCAATCATAATTAATTGAAAATGTCCAGTGATATATCTGGCACTTCAATTCGAATGGGAGTTTGATTGAACTTTTAGAATAATTACCCCACACACAGACTTGCCGAAGGCAAGTGCTGTATAATTTATCTGACTGTATTTCTTTCTCATATTATTGAAATTTATGCTGCTAACAAGAAAAACTAATGAAAAACTAATTAAAAATTTGCTTCGGGTGGAAAAGGTTGGGGAAAAAGTTTCCGCACAGTGAAAGGCTTGCAAAAATCTCTTCATGTGAATATGAAATGTAATTTTAACGAACATTCGCCAGGGCGGCAGAGGCGACAAAAAATAGTTACATTAAAAGTCTGACAGCATATTCATCCCGCATCAGGTCACGTCGTCCGCTTTCGCTTTCAACTACGAGCAGTCCTTGAATGGGAAATAAGTCTGGCCCTGACTTAGGTGCCCCAAAACCCACTCTGCACGACTCACTAGTCACTAGTCACATGAAATCCATTAGCAGCACCCATGCCACACTGGAACCTACAGAATTAAGTACTGACAGAGCCTACAATTCCCCGTCTGAATAGTTGAGTGGGGGAGTTGATGTAGGAGCTGTAACTGAAGTAGGAGTGGTAACGCTGCTGTCTGACGCACAAAAGACCCCCCGCCCCGTGCCTGTAAGCCCAGAAGAGTGAGTGAGCCAAGGAAGCAATTAAAGCTGCTGCTTTCGCTGAATGGAATGTGTGCCTGTGTGAAAACTTTAGGGCGATGTTCACAAGTGCCAAAGTTAATTAGCTAACTTCCTGGCAGCCAACAAAAAACGTTCGTTCGTAGATCTTGGCCTGCAGCTAGCATTGTCGGTCTGTCTGTCTTTAGGTCTTTCGGGGTGTAGGACTGTAGAACCATCTGCTCAAAGCACAAAAACCAAAAAAAAAAATGAAAAATTAATTAAGCAGGCGAAAAGTTTTTTGGACAAAGAAGTTTATCATTTTTTGTCTGTTGCAGCGATACCAGCGAACTGGAGCCCGTAACGCATGCGAATGAGGCAGTGCGTCGCTTCTATCGGCTCATCCAGGCGGCGCGAGATGGACAGGATCAAAAGGATTGCCAGAGCCTCTATCCACAGTGCACAATGCCCGCAAAATGAGGCCAAGATAGGCGGACCGGAACGGAACGAGTACGAGCAACTTTGAAGTCAAATTTTCCTTGTTAAACCGAACTGTAAATAGGATAGTAACGGTAGCACCTAAGCTTAATTTATTATAATTTGTTAAATTCTTATTTATTTATTTATTTTAGAGTAAGCGTAATGGGGTTGACCCGTGCTTCATTAATATTCATTCTGATTTTGTTGCAGTTAATCAATAAATAATTTATTAGAACTGACTGCGGCTTTTGCGGTTCGTACACTCTTTAAATTCTCACTCACACGCGAGCATATAAATATGAAATTGTCTCGTTAACGTACATATGTATGTTTGTAAAATTCACTAAAAAAAAACCATTCACTAAATACGAAATAATGAAATCAGAATATTTATTAATTGCCGGCCAGACAGACCCGGCTGATAATTCAATTAGTCAATATGAAAAATTGTTATTAGAGAAACCCAAAATGAAAAAATAAATTGAAATTGTGTTAAATGTCATGTAAAATAATATTAATTCTGGAATCACTGCACAGGGTGATGTCTATCGTAATTTTGGTATTTCCAAAGAACTCTGAGTTAATTTAAAATCAAATAAATTTACAGGAAGAAAGCAATACTTAATCCACGCGGATCGACCGATGCCATACCCAGAGAATCATCTTTAATTATTGATATTCGTGTAAAATTCTATCGTAAAAATATACTTCCTATTATTATTAATTTGTATTTTTTTATTTATATATGTATTATGACAAATTATGTGACTACAGATTCCACCCTATGGTAATACAGAATTGTCATATAAATAAATATTTACAAAACTCCAGGCTAAATCATTTGGCAATCAATAACCTTAATCCACGACAATATCAATGATTTTTTGTATATACGAGAAACCATTCCTATCAGCGCACTATGGGCAAAAATTGATTTTTTTGGGATTCATCCTAAATTAAAAATTAGATTAAACTTTTCACGAACATAAATACAAATAAGTTCACTTTTAAATTTTAATACATTTTTAAAATTTTTTGATTTTTTGGTTTTTTAATTGATAATTTTTACAATTTTAAGTGTAAGAACAAAAATTTATTATGCCCCAGTCTATTTTTCCCATAGTGCAGCAACGCGGTGAGCCCACATGCTGAGAAATCACTCACACAGACCAGCAGTTCCAATAATAATATATTTTCTTTGCATAAATCACAGCGTCAGGCAGGACCCAGAAGGAATGACGTCTCGAAATGTTTTCTAATTGTCGAGTCCACATGGTTCCCCCCTCATTTGCATAAATATATTTATTAGACGGCATATTGGAAGAGACGGGGAGACGGCTTTGATGTTTTCAGGGAAATGATGAGCAAGAAGTGCGCGAACTCATCTGAAATTAATATTTATGTAAATGCCAAGCGCAATTAACACGCAAATGGCAAAGCTTTCACTTTTATCCAAAACAAAGAAATTCCTTGTTTCCCAAAAGAAAAATAAACAAAACAGAAAAAAAACAAAGAGCGGAAGCATTAAGATTCGTGGGCTCGATGTCTCGGCCCAGCCAACTGCACTGACATCAAAACCCCGATTGCCAAATTGGCAGCTCATTAAATACCAAAGCAGGCAAAGTACCTCAGACGTAATTCAGCTGCCTCTACGAACCCACGTCCCAGCCACTTGGCTTGGCTTCTGTAGTAGCCTACGAAAATACATAAGTATTTCCGCTATTTGAAACCAAGGAAATATATTTTTACACGAGCTGAAGTGACACCCACAAACTCTGGATTGGATAATTAATGCCCACACGAATAGTATCGATTACGATTGGCGTCAGATCAGGCTCAAGGACAAGTGGCCCTTGAGACAGAACTTGAACGAGAGGATATTGTTTCCAGCTAATCAAATACTTACTTTATCAGCTCAAGGACAAGCAAAGAATGTGCACAAAATTCCAATGTTTTAAGACGTTTATTTAAAGAAATGAATTTTCGTTGGCTGTGTTCATGACTTTCCTTAAGTTATTCCATATGAAAATTATTGAATCGTTCATGAATGAAAATTAGGAGACAATGTCGAAGGTGGTCATAAATGTCTCGGATTTACTGGCAAACATTTTTTATCATATTACGTGAATGACGTTTCATTCATAAAATGTCCGATAAAGTACGGTTCAATGCTATATTCTACAGGGTGCGCTAAATTTTAGTACTCCGTGTAAACATTGAATAACTTTGACATTTGTGAACCGATGTAAATAAATGGGGAATTTTTATTGTATTTAGTCTTTTACAATTTGTTCAGAATAATTTTTGAAAACAACATTAATTAAGTGGCTGCCTTTATTTGAAATTTCACAGCCAAATCACAGTTGTATCGCTTTCCTCTGCGAATGTTAATGCACTGCTAAGGAAGTATATTGTAAAACCAGACCAAAAACAATAAAAAAACATTTACGAGTTGATTTAGATTTTATGGAATTTAGGTAAACAAAATTCTGGCTTGGCTTGTCAAGGCCAGCAGTTCCGAGTTCTCCATAGCATATCATTGGGCTGGTTTTCTTGTGATGCACTTTAAGGGAAACCTCATTCCAAATATATTACGAGGTAATAAAGAGACATTTTTATGGCCAGGGGACTTAAACACAAAATCAAATTAACAATAAAACAAACAAATATTAAAATTAAAAATTGTACTCGTATTCAATTTAGTATCGGTCCAAATGCGCTTGCATATAAAATATATATTTATATCTATAATTTTCTAGACTTACTGAGAAAAGTCAAACGAATAGAAGAAGTGAAAGGAAGTAATAATGGCGGCCAGAACCTTTTAACCTCTGAAGACCACAATTTGAATGATGAATATACGAAAATATAAGCATTCACGTTTACTAAGAGACTAATTGGCATAGGACTATATTGACTAATATACATTAGTTAATAAACAGAAAAATTTAAACCATTATCTGACCGATAGTCATACCAAAACTGTATGTTGCTGGGCTCTGCAAGTCCGCTGGGGCTACCTACTCGTATCTCAGCAACTGCTTATTCGAGTTCCCGGCCAAAAGATACGACAGCGCGAAGACTTCGAGTTGTATTCGAATTGAGTTGCGAGGCACGCACATCGGATTGTTGGCCACTTGATTTTACGAGCTTGGTCCGCCACAGGGGGGGAGCAGCCTATCGATATAGAAGCCATCAAATAACTTTCAATTATGTGCGGCATATTATGGCGGGGGTATTATGCTGGATGGAAACCCTCAACAAAGAGACTTGCGTGCCCATAAAAATTCTCAGCTGACCCAGTGGACACCATTTCTGGGTGTGCACTTATAGAACTCCACAGCCCCACAACCCCCAATTCCTCCATTCGCGAGCTGCGCCCACAGGTGAAACTCTGCTCTTGTGGGGGGGACGGACAACTTGCGCTTTCCATGGGCTTTGACAACAAAGCAAAATGGTCGCTAAAACTCGAGCCCAAAGAGGAGCCGCGCGTACTCTCTGCATACGCATTTCAATTAACAAACTACCCGACGTATAAAAACCAAGCGGTGCCCAGGCGACATTTGCATAACCCATTGAGTCGCCACCGCGTGCAGACTTCTACTAAGAGCTGAGAGTTCGGATTTACGGGGATTACTTCAGGTGAAAGCGAAAAGGATGAACAGCTACGCCTTCCTAATCGTCGCTGTGACGGCGCTGGCCGCCGCCCAGGGAGCGCCCACCCATGAGACGCAGACACCTCAGTCTGCCAGCCAGCTGGCCCTGGACATGTATCACGGCTGCCTCAAGGATCTGAGCGTGTCGTGTGTGCGTCCCAAAGCGCTGCGTTGGTTCAATACGGCTTTGCAGCAGCCGGAAGTGCGGCTGACCGATCGTCTGTCGATTGTCCGCACCATGGAAAAATCGGAATCGACCTCATCGCGCTCCCTCAATGCCGAGGAGCAAATGTTCGATGATATCGATGGCTATCTGGGCAGTCACGCCTTGAGAATCCAGGCACCTGAGTACTTCCGCAGCTCCGAGGCCCGTTCGCTGGTGCCCGGACTTCCTGCTGCAGAACGCCCTCACCCAGGGCGGAGTAGTTCCTCTGGCAGCCGCCAACGAGGGTGAGTCCTGACTCCTGATAAACCCTCAGTGGGTAGGCAAAGCTAAAACTTAACTTATCTGTGTTTCTGTGTGCTTAGGTCGTGGTATGATCCGCAAGGCCATACTGCCTTTCCTGCTGGGTCTGAAGCTGAAGACAACTGTTCTGGTGCCCTTGGCGCTTGGCCTGATTGCACTGAAGACGTGGAAGGCGATGACATTGGGTCTGCTCTCCTTGGTTCTGTCCGGTGCTCTGGTCATATTCAAGATTGCCAAGCCCAAGATCGTCAACTACGAGGTGGTGCACTATCCAAACCACCACCATGTTGAGCATGTGGTGCCGCATCACATTGAGCATGTGGTGCCACATCACATTGAGCATGTGGTGCCCCATCACATCGAGCACATTGTGCCGCATCACATTGACCATCATCTGGAGCACCATATCGATCATCATGGGGACCTGCCACTGGAGCATATCGATCATTTGGAGCATCCATCGCCAGCATGGGACCCGCACGCTTGGGCCCGCTCCTCCCAGGAGCCACAGGATGCCCAGGACCTCGCATACGCGGGTCAGAAATAACTCGAATTCCAATTCTAAATTTGGCCAAAATGCAACCTTATTTATTTGCTCTAATTTAAGTAGTCGAAACGCATGGAGCTCGGCGTATGGTTTTATTTATTTATTTATTGAAAATTGTACAAAACCAAAAAGAAACAAAAAAAAAAGAAGAAAGGCCTGGACGTTTTTAAGGCACTGAGAAGCAATTAGCTCTTTAAGCCTTTTGTGTAAATACTTCTTCAATAAAAAACATGCAAAAATGATGTGCCTAATTGAAGACATTTCAAGGGAAAAAGTCTCTACGTTTTTTCCGGGTATAATTACCCCGAAAACTTTCTAGTGCCCGTCCCTAAAAGGGGTAAAAGTCTGACCGTAATGGAGAAAGCATTTTAAATTCCAGCACATGATTGGAGGAGCAACAAAAGCTTTTCCTTTTCCAAGTAAAGTGTAAAAACTTCCTTCCTTCATGTTTTCATGTAAAATTCAAATGCTTTTGTGAGCTGGCAAAAACATCACACAGCGCCAAAGTGCCCTTCAATGCAACGAATCCATTTTCTATGAAGTGGAATATCCTCTTCTTCACTTCAGAATACCCTGTGCCCCTGTGGTGTCGATGGTCGAGGGGCACATAAAGTGCATTTGATCTGATAAGACCCTACAGAAACGCTTTGAAGAAGGTTTCCCAGGATGGTAGGGTTTTTTTCATTATTAGCCTACTTTTAGGGGCTCGCGTTCAACACGCACGCTTCACACAGAGGGTAAAAAGTTTTCGAATTTTACAAATAATATGTGTATTTATTGCATATATTCCTCTTGCACGTGGCAGAGAAAATCGTTGGCCCACCCACACACGGATAGCCACACGCTTCACCGGACGCAGGTGCTGGAAAGTAGCCATCGCCACAGTCCCAGCCACATCGACGACAGCACAGCGTGCAACAATGCAAAATGGCGATGGCGCCAGCAACAAAAGACAAGTAATGGAAACAATACAAAAGCAATAGCAACAGCAACAGCATTGCATTGACCGACACTTCATTTATATTTAACGGGCATGCACTTGGCCGCCATCGCATGGCCGTTTCTACGCAACAATTTCGAATATGAAAAAGTTTTCCAATTTCATTGGCACCAACCACACCGGACCATGGGACGTCCCGTAGTTTGTACAAGAATGCGACCGGAATGGCAAATTGTCCACCAATTGAAGTCGGTGAAACTTTTTACCGAAATAAATAATCAACAAAAAAAAAAGAGAAGACGAAAGGTAACACGAGAAACAAAAACAAAAAAAACATCGTACCCACTCGCTCGCTATCAAATCTATTTTCATGGCGAACCGCGCGTAATCAATATACGGGATTCATAATTCACAAGTTGCACGGCAAAACAAAACGTTTCGAAATTCCTGGCATGACTTAACTGAAGGGTGTCGCAAGTGGCAAGAGCAAGAGGGAATGGCATGGGATGGGATGAGCACTTGTGTCACTTTCGCTTTCGTTGGGGGAAAAGTACTTTCTATTTCATTGGCATGTAAATCGGCAGCAGCAGCCCTTGTCCCTTGTTTTGCATATTTTTTGGCCAAGTTTTTAATTATGATTTGATTGCCGTAATTAGCTGTCGCAATTTAACGTGTGCCCACTGGATAAAATTATGCGTTGGGATGTTTTTAATTACTAGTTTCTAGTGAGCATTGAACGGCTTATGAGCAACAGGCACGCCTGGCAAAATGATATCCGTTAACACTCAGAGAAAAATGGCATAGCAACAAAAAACACACCCAAAAGAACTAATCTAAATATATAAAACTTTAAAATAAATATAAATTGTTAAACAAGTATGAAAAATATTTAATTTAAACATAAATAATATTTAATTTCAATTCGAAATATATTTAAATTAAATATTATTCCTTTTTACCATTTTCACTCTCGGTGCACAGCTATTGGTATACAAGCATACAAATATTAAAATTTTTGTCTTTTTTTATGGCTATAACAGCCAATTGAAACTTGTTAAAAGAATGCTAATTGCCAATAAAACTTTTTCCTCCTATAGTTTCAAGTGATTCAAAAGTCACTTCACCATTTATAATTATGAAAGTTAGGAAAGAAAATATTACTTTTTTCCCTTCGCTTTGCCTGTTTCCATTCGAATTTTCATACAGCTTAAACTTTTTGAAATTTATTTGTATTCGGGTGAAACCTTAATAGGAGATTACTTCGTTTATCGAAGCTCTTATCTAATTGCCAAGAGCAAGAACTCCCAGTGACTGCAGGAGCATCGAGATTTAATCAGTTAATGGTTTAGTGGCTAGTTAGTTAGTGGCTTCCTAAACCTTGCCTCAGAGCAAACTGTTGAATAAAATGAAGTCATTTTCCCCCCGGCCAACCGGCTTAATCCAATGCGGCTGGGCCGGCACGCGTTTGAAATAAAGCCACATTAAGCATACGACACGTGGTACGGTATCCAAAGGCACGCACACAGCCGCAACAGCAGTGCAATGGCAGAGCGGCTCGGCTCGGCTCTTTCAGTCACTTGCTTCATTCATGTCTTTTTCGGACCATTTCTTTTGCACCGCCATTCGCTGGGGCGACAACCACGAAGACACCGCTACGTCGACACTTGCTGCGACACACGGGAAAGAGGGGGACAGAAACAGACGCGGACAGACGCCGCTGAGGCTAAAACATTGGGAGTATAAAAATCGTGAACAATAGAAAAACGATTATTAAACGCAATTGTGCCAGCATTGAGGCAACAGCGGCCACAGAGCGAAAACAAAAAAACAAAACAGTTTAAAAAATGGCCAAACTGCTCCTTGCGATTGTCGGTGTGGCAGCCCTGATGGGTGTCGGTCAGGCGGCGGCAGGCGCCTCCACGCAGCAGCTGCCGCTGCAGCGGCTGATTGCCGAGGAGCAGAGCAAATGCGCCAGTGGGCAAGATTCGATGGCCTGCATCAAAGAGCGTGCCATGCGCTTTGTGGACAACGTGATGAGCAAAGACAGCTACACGGTAAGAAATGAACTATTTAAATGGGATCCATCCAGTTGCAGTTATTTAATCGCCCGATCCGTTTAGCTGTCCAACCTGGAAGTGCGCTCCAATGGCCAAAAGGTGAGCCCAACCAACGATGCCCGTGCCCGTGCCAGCAGCAGTGTTGATGGCTTCATGGATGCCCTCGAGAACTACATACAGGGACACGATGTCAGCATGAACTTGCCCATGGCCGATGCCAAGATCACCGTCTCGGCACGCAATCTGGCCAACGACGAGCTGAGCTTGAACCTGCAGCTGAACGGCGATGAGGAAGATGGCAGTGCTGTCGATGGTGAAGCCAGGGGTAAGAAGGGCAACATCTTCAAGAAGGGTGGGTTGATTTCTGCATGCTCTTTGGCAATTTAACTGACTGTGGGCCATGTTTATTAACCTGCTATACGATCTCCGTTTTGCAGGCAAGAAGCACCGTCTCCGCAAGCTGGCTATGCCCATTCTGGTTATTATCCTTCTGAAGGCCATCACCGTCATTCCCTTGGCCATTGGCATCCTGAAGATCAAGGCATTCAATGCCCTGGCCCTGGGCTTCTTCTCTTTCCTAGTCTCGGTTGGTTTGGCCATTTTCCAATTGTGCAAAAAGGTAAGCCAGCCTCCATACTAAAACGCACCTCTAATTGTCTTCTAGGCATTCGCTGGCTGTGGTAATTAGAGAGAGCGTTAGAGAGCGTATTTTGTTGCCTCGTGGTGGCGTGAGTTGCGTGAGTGAGTTGTGGCGGCGATTATTGCAATTAGGATTAGGTGTCCATAAGTACTCGTACAATATGCATGTATGTATAAGAATCCCCTACCCGACACTGTCTAGAGTCTAGAGAGGGCACACGCAGGTAAGTCGAGCCAGCATCCTCGCCCACAACCCGCTCCCGCTCCCCAAACCAAACCACACCGAAACGAAACGAAAAGAAACGAAACTGACACTCAACCACACCACTTCCCGAACCAAAATGTGCATTTAATAGATTGTTTGTTTTTTGGCCCATTCTCGAGGGAATCCATGTTTAAAAGTTCCTCTTTTTGCCCCCCACAGATTGCCCATGATCATCACCACACCTCCCACATCACCGCCCACGGCCCCTGGGATGGCCGCACGTTTGGCGCCGTCTCCGTTCCCGTTGTGGAGCAGCCACAGCAGTTGGCTGCCCAGAAGATGGCCTACAAGGGCTATGCCTAAGCCGCAAAAACCAGTGAGCGTAGCGGAGCATTAAGGGCCATAAAAAAGTTGGCAGCGCAAGAGCGCAAAATGATTTGTTAATTGTTAAAAGTTTTTTGTGGCTTTTGCTGCTGCCAGAGTCCGTTGGACTGGTTTCCTCCTGTTATCCTCCTGCGTTGCTGTACCTTTTCTTTAGACTTTACGTATAATATTTATTAACTATTTATTGAAAACACAAGAGAATGAGAAAACAGAGCAGGCACAAAACCAAAATAAAGTAGCAGAATAAAAATGCCTTGAACATGATAAACTTTGATTTCGCTTACTGAAAACACGGCGGTCGGAGGTCAGCCATTAGCCTTAATCTTTAAGGCAATGCCTTGGGCCATCGACAGACTTCGAACTGAACGAACACCGGAGGGCAAGGAAGGCCTAATTAACGTGTATCCGCCCCGTCGGTATGCCTCCGGTGGGAGGGAGTCTTCGTCTCCGTCGCCGGCTCTAGACCAATTTCACTTGGCATACAATATTTATAGGCCAATGCGGCGGCGGGCACAGCAATTGCGTCCTAATTAGCCAAATTTAATCTACAACCAACAACCAGCCAGCAAGCCCTCAGCCGAAAATCTAATTAAACATTCCACTCAAGCCTGAGGCTTGGGGCCCGGCTTTGGCAATCGATTAAATTGATCCATCCCCTGCATATAATGTAAAAATTTAAATTTCTTTGCTTTTCACTTGCGCGAAAGTTGACAACCGGCAACGCCACCGCCACCGGAGAGTGAAAGTCTTTCAATATTCTTGCCCACCGGAGAACCCACAGATCAGGAACATTTCCAAACAACATTGAATGCCTCGGTCACCGGAGCATGTTTGCCCACAGCCATAAATCTTTTATTGGTCGCACAAATAGAAAAGGAAATATCTCAAAATAAACGCCTGCCAGCTCCGATTGCGCTCAACTGCACCATAAAGGTCTTTTAGGAATTCGGTCAAAAGTATGTCAGAAATTTGCGACCGGAGACCACGACTAGGACATACCCAGGATACACATTCTTTATTTGTATTTTGAGGCATTTATTGGAAATTTTAGATCAACGGGATAATTATTCCATAAAATTAATCAAAGGAAAAACAGAAAAATATAAATATATTTCATATTTAAATTAAATATTTGTATATTTAGATTAAAAATATTTCTTGCACGCTAACATATATATTTATTATAAATTCTTTTATAATTATATTAAATATGGGCTGTATTAAAACGACTTTTTAATTCGATTATATATTTAAATCGAAGTGAAATCTATTTTATTTCACCACGTGTTTATTTGAAAAGCCAATGTTTTATTGGAGTATGGGTGTATTTCTTTTTAGTATGCCATTTTTCTCTGAGTGTGCGAGAAAAACTCTTGTTTCACCGTAAAATCGTTTCAATTTTCCCCAGCTACTTATTCGACTTAATCTTTGAGCTGCTCTGCTCTCTGATCAAAAGGTCGATATACCCGAACACCTCGTGGGTAGGATAATCTACATACATTTCGGAGAGAGAGAGATAGAGCTCGAGTTTAATTTAAAAAGAAATGCTGGCGAATGGTCAACCATCCATTTTCCATGTTTGCCAGCCCCATCCTGGCCACCATCTAGAAGCCAATAAAGTGTGAAAATTGCCAGAATCGAGGAATTTTCGGCCAATGGCCCCCTCGCTGTTTGCAATTTTCACAGATTTTAAGCCAATTTATCAGGCGACTGCACAGTGCGGGTTATTCGGGGGATACCACTGCCTCTACCGTTTGCGGTAGTGGACAGCTGGACAGCTGGCGCCACTTTCATAATCATTTGGCATGCATGAGGACGCTGTTTTGGGCAACACACACCACACGCATTCACGCATCATCATATGCAGCCCAGCCTGGCCAAGACACGGACATATGGAAATTTATTGAGCGACATAAAGTTGTCGGCTCTTTGGTTTGGCACGAACCAATCAAAAGTGTGGCGAGCGAGTGAAACAAACATGGAGCTGTGCTGCCCATCAATTTCTTTTATCGCGGGGATAACGGTAGTGATACACATAAAAATTAGACACGACACCTGTTGCATTATTTAAAATGACAATTAGATAACAGCCATGAGGATTGCAATGATTTTGGCAGCCAGCTAAAAAGATTAGATTTGATTGTGCAACTCTGAGAAGTTTACCAAAGTTTTGCCAACTTCGTTGTCTTTTAATAGCACGGAAATATGTAGTAGCCAATATTCGTGAAGTAATTCCAACTAAAGTTTTAAATGTATTAGTATTCGTTGATACCTTTATGGTAACTAATTTGAGAATTAGAGTCAATATTTCTAGATTTCTAAAATCGCCAATACATTGCCACACCACAAGCATTGCTTAGTGTTGATTTACTAAAATAAATAAAGTAAAATAAAACAAACAATAATAATAAGTAAATAACAAATAAAATACCTCTTGTTACAATAATAATGATAATTAGCTTAGTTTTTTCGGCACTAAATAACTAAAGTATAAATGTTCAAAAAAATGTCAAAGTTTAATAAACATTTAAAATGGCAGACAACTTCAAGTATGGCTTGATATATCATCTGATAAAGACATTGTATCGACACGAATTCATAATTCAATAGAATTTAATTCAATTCTCTTTACAATCCATTGATTGTCTTCGATATCGGAGCTTCAAATGGCGAGTGAAAAAATATTATGTGGGCATATTGAAAACTCGAAGTATGAGGATGCGAGAAGGCCTCTTTCAGGCCTACAACCATATTTTTGTCTCATGCAAAGTATCATATAGGAAAGTCACTCGGCTTATAAGTAAATAAGTAAAATAAAATTACAATTTATTTTCCATCTCTCCCTCCTGATTGTGGAACGGAATGCTCAATCGAAAAGTCGATGATGTTTTACTTTGCCATTTGTATGTTGTCCGCCTGGAAATGTCAGCTAGCAATTTACTACTGATATTGATCCATTGAAGGACCCCTCCTAGACGATTGATTAAGCGCATCCAAATGCACAAGGACTCCGTAAATGAAAAGCAATTATCCAAGCCATCAATTGATGCATGAAGATATGATAATGAGAACTAATTGCCACTGAAAATGCATGCAAAATCTTTGCTCCAGTTAGGAATAATGGATATGCAAGAGAAGAGGATGAAGGCTTGCCCCGGTTCTCAGATATTTGACCTAAATTAACCAAGAAAACGTGTCTGCTGCAAATGTGTCACAAATAAAAATGGAAATCTATTTCGTAATCTAATAACAAAAAAAATAACATAAATAGGTACATATGATAATTGAATCCGCTGCTGAATTCAGCAAACAGTTCCGCATACACGCCAAACAAACAAACAAAAAAACCAAAAACCAAAAACAAACGAAGTCAAATCCAATCAAAGCAATCCTACTAGGAGGAGGCAGGGCAGTTCAATACCTGAGCGTAGTGGAGGAGTTCCGTACTGATTTCTTGTATCGAAATTTGACACAATACGTTGAAATATGTACGTGCCCAAGCCCTTCGATTTGGCTTTCTTGCGGCCGGTCGCGTAAGAGTTGAGGGCCTGCATACTAATAGGAAACAAAAGTTATTTTCATCGAAGCGGAGCGTCAGTAATGCAACTTTGGCCAAAAACCAAAAGGCTGGCTCGAGGCGGGGGTGGGTGTCTGGTCGATATGGAAAGCGAGAAAGCGCTGAAGACATGCGTAAGTGCCGAGTGGCGAGGGTGGGAGGGTGAGCTGAGCTGAGCTCTATGGTCAAGGCAGGCAAGGCAGGCAGGCCCGTGGACAACCCAGATAGTAATATTTGGTGAAAAACTTTTTGGACATTTGCTTTCCGTGGACTTGGCTAGGGTTCGGCTTCGGCCCCGTTGGCGTTCCATCAGTCTCGTCACTCGATTTCGTTGCCGCTGCTGCTGTCCAAAAACCAAAAAGTGTGCGCTCCAAAAATACTTGCAGCAGGTCTCTGTCTCTGTCACTGCCACTGCCACTGTCTGGCGCTCTCTTGTGGTGCGGTGCGAGCCCTGACTGTGGGGAGCGGCAGTATAAAACCGTTGTCGCTCGAACAACTGTCCAACATTGTCGCCGCATCGACATCGCCGTGAACACTACGCGCTCTGGTAGTGTCTATTATATATTATATATTTATCTTTAAAGTGTGCCCGATTTAATAGAATGGCTATCCGTTTCACGTCCTTGCTCGCGGTCGGTTGTGTGCTGCTGGTGTCCGGTGCAGTGTCTGGGGCTGCCATCGAGAACAATGCGGTCACACCGCGCATCCACAGCTCCGACGAGCTGATCTCGACCATTGTGGATAAGTGCTTCCATGCCAATGCCATGCATTGCCTCAAGGAGAAGGTGCTGACCTATCTGGACACAATGGCCCACGTGGAGGAGGAGGTCAGTGGCCGTGCCTTCGATGACGATGTCATCGACAAGGTCATTGTGGATCGCATTGGCCGCATTCTGCACACCAACGAGATGCGTCTCCAGCTGCCAGAGACCTTCTTCGCTGGCTCCGTGATGACCTATCGTGCCGATCGCGGCTTCGACCTGGAGCTGCCCAAAGAGGAGGGTGCGTTGACTGTACAGCCTTGACCCACCTAGACCCCACAATGACCCAGGTGTGTCTCTTCTGTCTTGTGTCTTTTAGGTCGCGCCGAGAAGAAGAACAAGGACAAGCTGTTCCTGCCCCTGCTGCTGCTGATGAAGCTGAAGCTCAAGGTGGTCATGCCCATTCTGCTGGCTCTGATCGGCCTGAAGGCCACCAAGGCTCTGATCCTGTCCAAGATCGCCATCAAGCTGGTGCTCGGCTTCCTCATCTACAATCTCATCCAGAAGTTGGGTGGCATGAAGATGAACATGGTGCCCATGCCAGCCCCGGCCACGGAATACGGTGTGCCCAGCACCACGGCCTCCTCGTACGATCCCAGCAGCTGGGAGCCCATGAACAGCGGCCCCTATGCCCGTTGGGACTCGCAGAATCTGGCCTATAGCTCCTACCATCCCAGCAGCTCCTCGTCCTACTCGTCCGGCTCATCGTCGAGCTCCTCCCCCGCCGGCTCTTCGGCCAGCTACAGCTCCTCCTCTTAGATCAGGCGCCAAGCGCTCCGCCCCCCTGCCGCTTTATATGTACATACATACATACCAAGGAATACCGTGGATGCCATCCAAGCAAACGGAGGTGGCTCCGCGAGTCAAAAACAGACCAAATGGAACGGAACATGTCTAGGCCATAATTTTAGTTGTTTAAGTTAAAGCACGCGAGAGTTTTTAGCCATTCTTTAGCTGTCCACCCACACACCCCCGCCACCCCACCCACATAGCCGCTGCCCACCCCTTTCTTTTCTTTTCTATTCACTTTGCACCTTCCCCTTCCATTAGTTCTCTATCGTCACCAATCGACCAAAAATCAACTACTACTGAATTGAAATATTATTTATTTAATTTATTAAAATGCAAAAATTGAAAACATTTATCTAAATGGACTATTTAATCGATTTGGTTGATTACAGTAGGCGTTTTCGTGTTTACTTGATTAGGGTGCATATTATATGACGTATATGCCAATAGGAAATCCGCCCATTGGTATATAAAACTTCACTATAGATACCCTAAAAGGCATGGATATATATATTCTTCATCAGCATGAATAGCTGAGTCGATAGAGCCAACTCTGTCTGTCCGTCTTGTTTGTCGGCTATATCTCAAAAATGTATATACTGACTGAGTACGGGTATAAGTAGAGTCGCGTCCCCAGAAGCGACTCACACGTTCCTCCTCGTTATAATACGAATTATGAAACAATAATTAATTTCTGATTTTTATTATTTAAATCAGAAAATATTCTTGTTTTTTTTAACCCAGTTGTCCTTGTTTTCTCATTAAATTTTAGTTGATATACTGGTTAAGAACTATAGGCTCTCAGAATGCAAAAATTTGTCATTTAATTATAGTAGAATCTGACAAATTAGAGCTCTTAAAAATTTAAATTGTCCAGAAATTAGAAACGTCCAATTTATACCTACAATTGTGAGTCGGTCCAGAAACTTGAACTTCCCAGAAATAAGAAACACCCAAGGAACAAAATGGTTATAATTTTTAAGCTTTTCTTCTGCGTATACGAGAAACCGTAGCTCAAAACGAAAATATATTTTTAATTTTCAATTTCTTAATTGAAAATAAAAAGTATCAAACGTGTCCCAAACGTGTCACACAAACACGAACACACTCAATCGATAATGCTCTGAATTGGAAAGTGTATATCAGATTTGCATGTTGAAAAGTCGTCGGTAATTGCCACAATTGGTCTGCCGTCAACTTTATATGTACACTACTAATGAGGTTCTAACTGATTGTGGGTTTAGTGATTTTAGAAGTCGACAGCACGCAAGTCCGGCGGTCACTCAACAAATTGCTCTGAGGCACGCCAAGCACTTCTACTTGGAAACTAATTAAAGGCGCTGGGCTGCTAATTGATGACAAATGAGTTAGTCTGAATCGAATCGAATCGGCAGCTGTTTTATCCAAAAACTAAGGGCCTGGACCATTCCAAATGAATGCGTTTGGCTGTGAGCCTTCTGTGTATTTAAGCCGCAGCCATTGAAAAATTCTAGTTAGTTGGAAAGCTACGACAGAATGCTGGTCCACCACTGGATGGTGCTCTGCCTGAGCTGGCCCCTGTGCGGTTCTCATTTTTTTTCGGAAACCGATGCTGGCAAGTTTCTGAGGCATCTGGAAGTCATACCAGATATAATAGAAACTGGACCGCAGGAGTTTCTCAATGTGAATAAAAGCACAATCGGGGTCACAGCTTTGATTCTGAATTTCTTCTCGCTCCTCTCATAGGTCACGTATCTGGGATTTCTTCAAGCCGATCGCGGCGTGGAGCTGCAGCCAATGCAAGTGCGCGATGAGCCTTATGTGGCCTGGCGTGCACCCATGACTAACTATTACACGCTGCTGATGGTCGACCCTGATGCGTCCAGCGCCGAACAGCCCACGCACCGGGAATTTCTGCACTGGATGGTGCTCAACATTCCTGGCAACCAGCTCATCATGGGGGATGTTCGTGTCGGCTATGTGGGAGCCACACCGTCCTCAGGGAGTGGCATGCACCGCTATGTCTTTCTGCTCTACAAGCAACAGGACTACTGTAAATTTATTTTCCGAAAGCTGCCCAAGCACATTCTATCGGGACGCGGCAACTTCTCGAGCATGGAATTTGCGGGACGCTACAAGCTCGGTCATCCGGTGGCTGGAAATGTCTTCACTTCTCGCTGGAGCACCGATGTTCCAGCCTTGTACAACTCCATTTCGCGGGGATTACACCAAAAAATCACTCTAATGGAATCGACAAGTTAAATGTAAGGCTGAAGGTAACTAAGGTTGTTCAGCGATATGCAATATTGCAATAACAAACCCATAAGGGAAATTTTTAAATTATGTATTAATTATTTAGTAAATACTGTGCAACATCCGTAAAAATAGATCGGAGCAGATACATATCTTTAACCCTCTCCTCCCTCTCACTCCCATGTACCAACAAGAGGTCAAACTTAAAAGTCCGCTCTTCCATTTTGTAATCCGCTTACGAATCTCTTTCGCTCTATATATCAGAGCATTCTTCGAATAATACATTCCAAAATTCAAAACACTGAAAAATATTAAGATCATAGCATTCCTAGCCTAGCCTAGCCTTTTTATTAGAAAACCTTTCGAAAATGTCGAGCTCCGAGGCTGCCGAATGCTTTGCAAAGCATGAAATTGTTCCAGATATACTTCCTGTGGCGCCCAATGAACTACTCAAGGTAGGACCCCAATATGCGTATGAGCTTTGTGACCTGCTGTAACTGCTTGTAGGTCACCTATGGAGGCGATCTGGTCGTCGACAAGGGAGCCGAACTGACGCCCACTCAGGTAAAGGCTCATCCGAGTGTGGAATGGAACGCAGAGCCGGAGGCGCTGTACACGCTACTGCTGACCGATCCGGATGCGCCCAGTCGCAAGGAGCCCAAGTTCCGTGAGTGGCATCATTGGCTCGTGGTGAACATACCCGGCAATCAGATCGCCAAAGCTGACGTGCTCACCGAATATGTGGGCGCCGGGCCGCCCGAGGGCACGGGTCTGCATCGCTATGTGTTTCTGCTGTTCAAGCAGAAGCAGAAGCTGTCCTGCAAGGAGAAACGCATACCCAAGACCAGCGGCGACAATCGGGCCAAGTTCAGCACCACCAAATTCGTGGGAAAGTACGGTCTTGGCAATCCCGTGGCCGGCAACTTCTTCCAGGCCAAGTACGATAGCTATGTGCCCAAGCTGTACAAGCAGCTCGCTGGCAAGAAGTAACATTAAAAATATATATACATAGTCACAAATTGTAGGTACATTTATCTAACTAATTATTAAACCATTATAATTCGCATTGAAGCGCGACGAGCTATAAACAAAGAGCTTCTTGATCAGGGGACGGGACGCTTTCCTCCCATAAAAGCTCTCTGGCAGCCAGACTCGCTTTAACAGTGTGCCACCGGGCCAAACTAGTTTCAGTTGCTGTCAGACCTTGTTCGGGATCTGGTCGCCTTTCCACACAAGTCTGTTTTCCGTTTTCCAGTTCTGTCCTGAGATGATGCTGATTCCGATACTGCTGGCCAGCATTGTGGCGGCTGTGCAGTCTTCTGCCACCGTGGAGGAGGTCTTCGCGTCGCATAAGGTGGTGCCCGATGTCATTGCCCAGGCACCAAACCAGTTTCTGAAGGTGGGGCAGCAGCAACAAAGCAAACGTCACCGAAACTAAAGCGAACACCAAAACTATTCAAAACTTTCCGTTCAAAGGTCACATACAAGGAGGGACTCGTTGCGAAGAACGGCGTAGAGCTAACGCCCACACAAGTGAAGGATCAGCCCTTGGTCGAGTGGTCTGCAGCACCCGGAGACTACTATGCGCTCATCCTCACAGATCCAGATGCGCCCAGTCGCGCCGATCCAAAGTTCCGTGAGTTCAAGCACTGGGTAGTGGTCAATATTCCCGGCAACGATGTGGCCAGCGGCGAGGTGTTGACTGCCTACATTGGCTCCGGGCCGCCCAAGGGAACGGGCCTCCATCGCTATGTCTTCCTGCTGTACAAGCAGCCGGGCAAGCTGGACTTTGAGGAGCCGCACGTAAGCAACAAGTCGCGTCGGGACAGACCCAGCTTCAAGGTCGCCAAGTTTGCGGAGAAGCATCAGCTGGGCAATCCCGTGGCCGGTAACTTCTACCAGGCGCAGTACGACGACTACGTCCCCGAGCTCCACAAGCAGCTGTCCGAGGAGTAGGACACACACGCACACACATATATTGCGCACACCTTTGACAGCACATTACTGGGTTAATTATAGAAAATCGCTTTTGGTTTTATTTGTTTGACTTTAGTGGAAAGTATTCTATTCGTGTTGTGGGTTGCTTCGGTGGCAGTGCAGTCTATTTGCCGGCTGCTGTGGCCAGGGGATTGCGCAGCACTAGGATCACAGAGTCGCCGCGCAGAAACATTTTCGAGATGAAGCGATCCTTGTTGACGGGCTTCACCTTCTTCTTGCCCTTGCCCGTGCGCGGCAGCTCTGTCCACATCTCCTTGACGTTCTCCAGCACCATGTTGCAATGGCGGTCGAAGGCCTTCACGCGGCCCAGCAGCTTCTTGTTGTTGCGGCAATTGATGAGCACCTGCGTGTTGTTCTTCACGGACTGTGTGAGCACGGACAGGGGTCCTGTGTTGAACTCCTCCTCCTCCTGGCGGGCCAGTTCCTCGGGCGTCAGCTCCGATTTGGGTTTAACAAGAGCCCTGCAAAATAAATCTAAATTATTTGACGCTACAACAGCCTGCGACCAATAAGCCGGCGCACATGTCGCTGTTCGGCATGGGTCTCAGGGATTGGGTTTTCATAGTTTCTTGACGTTACTTACATATTGCAGTAGCTTCAGACGTTGGTAAATGCAACAATGAATACTTTTCCAATTGTTTTTGGTCGGTTTTTGTGGATTTTTTAACAAACGCGGCTTTTTTTTACTTTGCGTTGCTTAGAGATGGTATATCATCGATATCAGCGATCTATCGATAGTATCGATTACGATTTTAATCAAAAAAAATTGGGGTTAAAATGGAAACGGAACTAATTAAATGCTGAAAATTCAAATCAAAAAAACTAAGTTTATTTAGATATTTAGTTAATAATTCACAAACAGTATTATTTACCGCGGTTTAACTCAAGGTGTTCAACTGTTTAAATATAGCGGGGCTAAGTGGGTTAAGTTCGTTATTTTTTTCGGTATATTTTCGGTATACTTAGAAAATTATATATTGTATATTTGGGTATATTTCTGAGGGACAGACGGTATATTTGTCGGAAAGTCCGCGGTCCCACTGGTCACACGAGTTAGGAATTAATTTCAAAAATTTGTTTTGCATGGCTGCCAAGAAACCCAAGATGACCCAACAGGACGATGAGGCCGCAGTTAGCACGTGCACCTACTGGGTGCCGCGCAAGAAACGACACTGCAAGATGGCAGCCAACAAGGGAAGCGTCTTTTGTGGCGCCCATTCGCCTGCCACGGAAGAGAGCCAACCTGTGGATGCGTCTGCTGAACGGATTTCCTGCCCACTCGACCCAAAGCACACTGTGTTCAAGAGGAAGCTGGCCAAGCACCTGACGATCTGCAATGCGCGGGAACAGGCCAGCACGCTGCCCTACATCGTCAAGAACATAAACGCTGGCGAGGAGCTGGAAAACCCAGAGGATGATGAAACAAACAGCAAGTTGAAACTGCACGAGCTGGAGGATGCAGAGTTCTACAGCGTAATAGACAAAGTACGGGCCTTGTACGAGAAACACGTTGGCAACAGCATCGAGGATCTGCATATGCAGCATGCTACGCTCGAGGAGTCGCTCGGCCACGAGGAGTACGGCCAGGAGTCGCGCAAGCATCTGGTGCAGGCCTCCGCTCTGTTGGGCATCCTCGAGCACGACCAGCAGCTGACGGACAGCACCAGCTTCATTGAGTTTGGCGCCGGCAAGGGCCAGCTGGCCTTCTTCCTGGCCACAGCGCTGGAAGCCCAGAGCCTGTCCCAATCGCAGGTGGTGCTGATCGATCGCATGTCGCTGCGCCACAAGAAGGACAACAAGGTGACCAACAAGGAGCTGGTCCAGCGCATCCGAGCAGACATAGCCGACCTCAGGATGTCTGCGCTGCCTGAGTTGGAGCAGACCAAACGCAATGTCGCCTTGTCCAAGCATCTATGCGGAGCGGCCACGGATCTCACATTGCGCTGTGTTTTGGCCCAAGGAGCAGCTGCCACGGACTACATCCTCATTGCCCTATGCTGCCATCACCGCTGCTCCTGGCGCTCGTACGTGGGCCAGACCTGGCTGCAGGCGGCCGGTATTGGACCCCGGGAGTTCGCCATCATCACCAAAATGGTCAGTTGGGCCGTCTGCGGCACGGGCCTAAGCCGCGAGCGTCGCAAGGCCATGGCGAAGGCGCACGAGGAGCTTGGCGAGCCGCCCACCCAAAGATTGACCCGAGAGCAACGCGAACAGATAGGCTACCAGTGCAAGCGGGTCTTGGATCACGGCCGTCTCGATCATCTACGTGCCAACGGATTCGAGGCGTCGCTGAAGTTTTATGTCCCGCGGGAAATTACGTTGGAAAATGTCGTGCTGTTAGCCAGACGCAAAAAAACCAAGTGCAATAATAAAGATAGTTGATTTAAACGATTATATGTGTGGATATAGCAAAAATATTCAAATATTTGTTATCAGGAAATGGGCTTTCTACATGTAAAATACGTTTATGTATATTTTACATGAATTAAGTGCAGTCGAAAAGTGGGTTTCTTGTACAAAATTGATTGATAAATTGAATAAAATTATTTATTTAGGCCTAGTTAGCCCAACTAGCTAGTAATATTAAACCGAATATCAAAATCGAGGAATATTGTCGTGTCCGTCAGTATATTTACGGTATATTTTGATAATGGAACGGTATATTTCGGTATATTGCTGGGCACAGCTGTTGGTGACTCAGAAAAGTGTTGGCAAAATTATTTATCGCGTTGATTTGGGAGCAAAACATTTGAAATTCTGATCAAAATGGCACACAAAATGAAGGCCATCAAGTGCCCCACGGACGAGCTGTCGCTGACCAACAAGGCCATCGTGAATATCAACGATTTCACCGAGGAAGTAAAGTCAGTCTCCCTTACCTTTTGCCAGCGCTGCGCTACGTGGGCGTCTCTGGGCACAACATCGACTAATTGCATTGTTTTTCGATTGACAGATATGTGGACATCTCGCCGGGACCCGGACAGCACTACATTTTTGCGCTGGAGAAGATTGCGGAGCTGCCGCGTGATCATGTGGGCTTCTCGCTGGTGCAGCGCAAGTGGGCGACGCTTTCTATTAACCAGGAGATCGATGTGCGGCCGTACCGCTTCGACGCCAGCTCGGACATCATCACCCAAGTCTCCTTTGAGACGGACTTTCTGCAGAAGAAGACCACCACCCAGGAGCCCTACGACTCGGACGAAATGGCCAAGGAGTTCATTATGCAGTTCTCTGGAATGGCCCTGACTGTGGGTCAGTCACTGGTCTTCCAGTTCAAGGACAAGAAATTCCTCGGCCTGGCGGTCAAGACGCTGGAAGCGGTGGACCCCCGGACCGTGGGCGACGGCAAGGAGCCCAAGTCGCGCAATGTCCGTTTCGGCCGCATCCTGGGCAACACGGTCGTGCAGTTCGAGAAGGCCGAGAACTCGGTGCTGAATCTGCAGGGCAGGTCCAAGGGCAAGATTGTGAGGCAGTCGATCATCAATCCGGACTGGGACTTTGGCAAGATGGGCATCGGCGGCCTGGACAACGAGTTCAATGCCATCTTTCGACGAGCCTTTGCTTCGCGCGTCTTTCCCCCCGAGCTGGTGGAGCAGCTGGGCATCAAGCACGTAAAGGGCATCCTCCTCTATGGACCTCCGGGCACTGGAAAGACGCTGATGGCCAGACAGATTGGCACAATGCTGAATGCTCGAGAGCCCAAGATCGTGAACGGGCCGCAGATCCTGGACAAATATGTGGGCGAATCGGAGGCGAACATCCGGCGGCTGTTTGCTGATGCCGAAGAGGAGGAGAAGCGCCTGGGACCGAACAGCGGGCTGCACATCATCATCTTCGACGAGATCGATGCCATCTGCAAGGCGCGTGGCTCTGTGGCGGGCAATAGCGGTGTCCACGACACCGTGGTCAACCAGCTGCTGGCCAAGATCGACGGTGTGGAGCAGCTGAACAACATCCTCGTCATCGGCATGACCAATCGCAGGGATATGATAGATGAGGCACTGCTCCGTCCCGGCCGCCTGGAGGTCCAAATGGAAATCAGTCTGCCCAACGAGCAGGGCCGCGTCCAGATCCTCGATATCCACACGAAAAGGATGCGTGACTTCAACAAGATTGCCAGCGATGTGGACAACATCGACATCGCTGCTAGGACAAAGAACTTCAGTGGTGCCGAACTGGAGGGTCTGGTGCGTGCAGCCCAATCGACGGCTATGAATCGCCTCATCAAAGCGGACTCCAAAGTGCACGTCGATCCCGAAGCCATGGAGAAACTGAAGGTTACCCGCTCGGACTTTATGCACGCCCTGGAAAACGACATCAAGCCGGCATTTGGCACCGCCCAGGAGATGTTGGAGAATATGCTGGCTCGCGGCATTATAAACTGGGGTTCGCCAGTCTCGGAACTGCTGGAGGACGGCATGCTCTATGTGCAGCAGGCCAAGGCCACGGAGAGCTCCGGACTGGTGTCCGTGCTCATCGAGGGTGCGCCAAACTCTGGCAAATCGGCGCTGGCCGCCAACCTTGCCAAGATGAGCGACTTCCCCTTCGTGAAGGTCTGCTCGCCGGAGGACATGGTCGGCTTCACCGAATCCGCCAAGTGCCTGCACATTCGCAAGATCTTCGACGATGCCTACCGGTCGACTTTAAGCTGTATTGTGGTGGACAACGTGGAACGCCTGCTGGACTACGGATCCATTGGACCCCGCTACTCAAATCTCACGCTGCAGGCCCTGCTGGTGCTGCTCAAGAAGCAGCCGCCGAAGGGACGCAAGCTGCTCATACTGTGCACGTCCAGTCGACGCGAGGTTCTGGAGGAGATGGAAATGCTGCCGGCCTTCACATCTGTCCTGCACGTGTCCAATCTGTCCAGCCCCGAAGATGTGCTGGCCGTGCTCGAGGATTCGGATCTGTTTAGTCCCGAGGAGCTGCAGAGCATCACCCGGAATATGGCCGGTAAGCGGGTCTGCATTGGCATCAAGAAGCTGCTCGCAATAATCGACATGATCCGTCAGTCGGAGCCCAACTATCGCGTCGTCAAGTTCCTGTCCAAGTTGGAGGAGCAGGGTGGCTTGAGCATGGTGGCGCGGCCCCACTAGCTACCGCCCGTTGCGGAACTTCGATTGTCCGTCGTGGAGCTCAACGATGCTTTCTAAGCACTCCCATTCCATCAGCTCAAATATTGTATGTGCGTGTGTGTGTTGCTTTTGACCCGGAAATATGAACGAAACGAAATCAGGCTAGCAACAAATGTTGCTTTGATTCGGTGAACATTCCATGGACAGGATGGTGGACTGGAAGACTTGCCTGTCCCCTCAGTCTTGTATGTAATTATGTAATTAGTCGTCCCCTAGCTGTATATGATTTATCCGATTTAATTATCTATTGTTCATTAAAGTTGTAGTAGACCATTTGATTAAGCGCAAAACAAAACTCAAATGTAACTGATGATTTGAGATACAAACATATATATATCTATATATAATCCTAGCCTCGATCACTGTCATATTTTGAAACCCAACGAACGAATCAGAAACAGAACCATAAAATACAAAAGACATTTGTAACGAAGGATCAATATTGAATTCTAGAATTTGCCCGTAACTAGTCAACTAGCATAAATAGACACTGGAAACTCTTTTATACAAAACATTTTGTATTTTGTACATTTTATGAAGCCACAATTTTGGAATTTATCTTTAGATGATCTGCCGAATTGAACACTTATTGTATTCAAATCGAAACAGGGCCAAATCTCATTTACAACAAAACTAATAATATATATCCGAATTACTCTTTGAGTATCGGGGTAAACAAATTTGGAACTGAAAACCACAGATCAACGAGTAGATTTGTATAACAATATAAAACTATTGAAAATGTGTCCACTACTATGTCCATGTAGAGCTGTAAGCCAGTAATAACCGAACCCGTCCTCTCTCGGAGCGACATATCCCCAGTACTTCCTGCTAAGTCCCGTCGCGGCGGGAATATCCATTCGCGGGGTAGATAAATAATTGTATTGTTGTATAACAGTTTGCACAAATGATAAGCACAAAGTGTGCTACTACTAGATCAATTTAGGTTTCAAAACTAGCTTAAGAAGGTGCGTGCATTGACTTGAAGTCAGAGGCTCTTCTTCTTCCTTTTTGCGGAAAATATTTTTGTCTTCTTCCTATTTGCGGAAAATTGATCTTCTTTTTTGCCTACTTTTGTTTTTAGGGCTGCCAGATCGGTTCAAAGCGAATCGGTAATGAAACGGGTAGAAAAATATCATGGTGGCAGCCCGCAACTACGAAGAATAAACCGGTATCGATGTCTTTTTAAAATGTTTTTTTAATAATGCAAAACACTTTTATGTATTCATTGAAATATGATAAAGCCTCGCGCTTTTTAATATATATTTAATAAAATTATGTATGTATAAATGGAAATTTCCTATGAGTCTTGCTTTTATTTGAACCATTTAGGTATACGAAGCCTAAAGGGAACATCTCAATTCATAATTAATAATTTGCATTATTTAAATGAAATTCTTTGAGAAATCCCAATCATTTGAATAATGTCTACTCAGTCTCAGAGATCGCCGCCAGACGTCTGTCCAGCTGAGAGGCGTCAGAAATTATCACCAGCCAGAGCCGTGACATAGCGAGATCCATAACCCGATCCATGGACGGGGACGGCCAGACAGCGATCAGCTGTTCGCAAGGCCCGACGGCCGCCGCACTGACCCGCCACCAGTAGTTGAGAGTTGGCCAAGACAGGGCCAGTCTTGATGGTACTGAGACCCAATCAATTGCTGACCACAACCAGTCGGAGTCGCCAATTGCTGACTGCTCTCATATATATAATTTGAATAAATGATTTATAATGAAAACACTCTAGCGGTGCGCGCGTCGTATACGTAATATGGAGCAGTGCAGAGCAGAGCATAGAGTAATTGATATATGGCGCTAATTGCGCCCTGACGCCCATTTGTGGTGGGAAGCGGTCCGGTCCAGCGCGGAGAGCGCCACTTTATCAGCGCGTCTGAGGAATCCTGGGGTAGCCAGAGCCACAACCAGATCTAGTGTCGCGACGGTGTCAGGTGCCGCTTATTAACTAATTAAAGTTGCATATTTCTTGAGATCTGAAAATTGATTTGCAGTGCCAATTGAATGGAATGGCTTCTAGCTGAGCTGGGCAGCGCTCTTGTCCCACAATAAGCCACAAATGAATGCTGTGCAGCTGTCCCTTAACCATTTCCACGTCATCAAGGAGAGTACAAGCAACCCTATACCGTCGACTCATCAAACCCACCCACCCACCACTTAGCGGGCCAGTGTGTAATTATTGGGTGGGCTGGGGTGGTGTCAAGCCCCTGCACGTCATTCGCTCACGTATGCAAAAGATTTTCGTGACGAAAGTCCAGTCGGACAAAGTTCAGTGACCGGGCCAAAATGCAGCCACGAAGCCCCCAAAATTAAAGCCAAAACGGATTTTCATTCAGCGCTGGGCCACTGTCGTCCCTCTCTTTAAAAATAAACGCGAAACTTTTACAAATTTGTATTTTTGTTATTATTAATTGAACCCGCTCTCGGCCAGGGCGCACTTGTCCGGCCAAAGCCCGCGCCCGAGCCGCCGCCCCAGTCACCGCTCAGTCGCGCCCCTCGTAAACTTTGAAACCGGCCCGAGACGACTGCTGTTGCTGTTGCTGTTGTTGCTGCTGCTGCTGTTGCTGTTGTTAAAAGCGCAAACGCCGGCAGCAAAGGTTCGATTTCACTTTCGCACGCTGTCTCGAGAAAGGTGGGGGAGAGGCGAACGAGGGGGAGGAGCAGGCGCATCTGGGGTGCTGGAGCTAAAGCTGGAGCTGAAGCTGGAGAGGATGGGAATGGGTAGGCTGACTCTGACTGTGACGCGGGACCTGTCATGTGTTTAACTTTTGCTGCTCTCACTTGCTTTCTTTCATGTTGGATTCTCTCTCCCTCTCCCTCTCTTTCTCTCTTTGGAGCACCGGATCTGTTTCCTTTTGCATTTTCATTGATACACTGAAATAAATTTATATTAATCGATGATCCAGTAACAAAAAATCCATTTGAAAAATGCAATGGAAAATATATTAAAAGTAAAAAAATATATTAAAAGTAATTAAATATAACGTAGATTTTTAGCTAATTTTAAGCTTATTTTTTTCTGTGCAGTGCAGGAGAAATTTGTTGAATTTGTCAGCATTTTCCAGACCATTCTTTGGGCCTCTCCTGGCATGGGTCCCCCCAATTTTGAGACTTCACTGGAATCATCGGCCCACTGATGCCGCAGGTATCGTACCAGCTACCTGCTGGCGCTGTGAATGTGAGTTAAAGACAAAAGCAAACATCATGCAAAAATCTTCCTGCATTACACAAACGCGGAAGGTTTTTCGCTGTACTCGTACTCGTACTCGCACATTTCATGGATTTTCCAGCGCTCCAACAGCATTTTCATGGCATTTTCATTGATGTTTTCAAGCGTGCATGTGCTGCCAGCCCGTATGCGAAACTAGCAGTTAAATTAGCAGTTTTTCCCGTTGCCTCCGCGCTGCACTACAATTTTACATTGCACTGACTGACGACTATTGGGGGGGGTTTGGGGATTTTTTTTTTTTTTTTGTTCGGTTTCGGGTTTTTTTTCTCTGTTTTTTGTTGGTGGTTTTTTGTTTTTTGCAATTTATAATTGAGTTGCAATTTGGCATGCGAGCTAAGAAATGGCCAAGAGTCAAGACCCGAAACTATTTGTGGTATGTGTGGGATTTTCGTGGAACTTGCATGCGTATTCGTCATCAAGAAGATATGGCAAAAGCATTTAAATTGAAATGATTCCTCTTTTAACTTAACCCTTGTGTTGTGGCTATACAACATAAAGAACCTGCAACAGGACCGCAAGAGTTTTAAGCCTGCAGCGTAAAGAGCAAGCAGAAACATATTTCAGAGTGAAAGAATTTCACTAAACCATAAATATCAGACAACCAAAGTAAATTTAACTAATAAAAGTGGGGCACTACTTGCACCCCCAATGCCAGTCGGGGGTTAAGAACAAGTAGGCATGGCATCTGAATTTATATCGCATTTATATCCTAAACAGAAGACACAACCCCCAAGATTACACGCAAAAAAAGAAAAAACCCAAAACCGGGGCATGATCAAAAGCCGGTAACAACCGAAACACAAATCAAAACGCAGAATCCAGTGTCCAGGGCAAAAAGCCGGCGCAGAACCAACCACTCGAAATCTGTGAAAATGTTGCCGCACGCGATCGGGACATTCGCATTCGCATTTCATTTCATTTCGATTCATTGATACACAGCCTCCAGCAGGATAAAAAAAAACCTACTTCTCCTCGGCACAGTTCCAAATTAAATAATACGATCTGATCTGGCTGTGTGTGTGTGTGCGCTCCTTATTATTATTATATTGTATTCCACCCTTTTTTTGCGTGCTGCCCAGAGCGGCGTTTTTTTGTGCCATTTTCTTAGGAATTCCTTGGCACGCAGCAACAGCAGCAGCAACAGCCGAAGCCGATGCCGAATCCGGGTCCATATCCCCTGTCGCATGATCAATCAGAACGTTCCATCAACATTCCCCGATCTCAATCTGAATCTGGATCTCGTGGACTGGGATATTGACTTTCCAGAGACGCGTCGTAGTTCACTTTCCTTTTTGTGAGACGACAGCTGAAGCTGGAGGGCCGGGCGGCACGTGCCTAGCTTCTGCTTTCTTCACTTTCGTCGGTGTTCTCGGGTTACCATTCTTCGGTGTTACCCCTTTCGGGGCCACGCCCCCCAGTCATTATAGCGCACACTTACGCAAGGCGGATATTGATTTCGAGATTGGCAGCAGATTGGTTGGGGCGGGGGTGGAAGTAGAACACAACTACTACGAGTACCGAGCTCACGTGTGCCCCGTGTGACACAGGCAGGCCCGGCTGACTGTGACTGATGACTGCTGACTTGCGAGGATGACATCTGCGTTCGCCCATTGTGTTTCACTTTTCATCAAACTTATATTAATAAGTTGCTTGCGCCATAATTAAACCGAATTTGATATTTCCGGCCGGGGGAGAGACACTTGGTTCACTGAACCCACGGAAAAATCCTTGAACCCCACGATCAAGACGCCAGACGAAATAAATATTTTATACATATGTATTTGCCAATAATCTATTTCAAACAAAGAACCAGAAAAATATGGGGGAAAAAAAAACTAAAGTTAGAGAAGCGTCGCGTCTGGCTGCCCTTTTTGGTTTTTGGCGGCACCCTCACAAAATTATTGACCAGCGTTCCATCCAAACCAAAGAGCCGAGGTAACGCAAAAAAAAAACACAACTCACAAGAAGTCGGACTCTGACTGACTTTGAGCTGGACTTGTCTGTCTCATTGGAATGGGGGATGCTACCCAAATATTTCTGTTGGTCAGGAAAGGACTTCTGTGCGGTTTGTTCATGTTTTTGTATCTGCTGCTGGCGGTTCTTCTTCCCCTCCTCCACACACACACACACAGACACACATTTCATTCTAATCAAAATTCTGCAAAACATATAATTCGAATTTTTGATATTTCATCTGACCATTTTGCGGAGAAAATTGCATTTAAACGCCTATTATGCGCTTTTTATTTGCAACCCATACTTTTCTGCCCGATTGCCCTCGCTGACTCAGTCATGCAAAAATACAAATCATTGTTTAAGTATATACTCGTACGCGTACCTATAAGTATAATGCTGATACGAGTATATCGCACAACACATATAAAAATATATGGTACATATATACTAACTTACAGTCATGATACTCTGATCTGTCAACTAGTCGGCTGTCGGCTTCCTGCTTCGGGAGTTAATTAAATAAAGTCGTAATATCGTTAGCAAATAAAATAAATTGTCTTCAATTACATGAATGACATCCAAGGCGCAATCTCTGGCTGGTGATTGACCTCTTTCAATGTGTTTCTTGGCATTCTTGGCTTGATTGCCCCGAACTGCAGCAGGAAGATAATGAAATTGTATATGCACTTGCATATATACATATGTATGTATATATATATATACAGTATACTCGCAGTCCATATGCAGGCTATGCGCCATGCACTTAATCAAAAAATACGACAAAATCAAGTGTAAACAAAACTGCATCGCAGATCTCGACTCGAACTGGCAGTCAGCATCGACACCGACTCCGACTCCGACTCCGAGACCGACCCGACCGATCGGGTGCATTGAACACATGAATATCCGGCAACAAAACAAAAATTTAAATCTCATTTACTCATTTATACAAATACATATGCATATTATATGTACTATATATACAATGCACTGCAAAAATAGTTGCCTGTTACATTTAAATCGTTATTAAATTTAAAACAAAACTTTTGCGGTTTCTGTTTTTTTCCA